AAGATAAATAACTTCAGAATTTTTTTACACCCTTAATATAACATATAAGCTTCACAATTCAATTGAAAAACAAACTGAAATGTCTATGGCAGGGGTAGAGAACCTTGGCTCTTTTATGACTCGTGGACTTCAACTCCCAGAATTCCTGAGCCAACATAGCTCAGCTTGAAAACTTTTCCCTTTGCCCTCAGCATGGCTGGCTCAGGAATTCTGGGAGTTGAAGTCCACGAGTCATAAAAGAGCCAAGGTTGCCTGGTCTATGGAGATTCTCAATCAGATCATGGTTATCCCAAAGATCCTTTTTTCAAGAGGCACCTAGACTTTCTTTGTGTTTTCTTTGTAAACATTTCTCATCCAGAAAGAACTGAAGAAGAAAAAATAACAATAAAAAGCTAGCCTTTTTCACTGAACTTTTATGTCCTGCAAATGAACTTGGTGAAAAATGTCTGAACGCTGAATATGTCATGCAGAAAGGCATCTGTTTTAATAATAATAATAATAAAAAAGTTGGAAGGGACCTTGGAGGTCATCTAGTCCAACCCCCTGCTCAGGCAGGAAACCCTATACCATTTCGGACAAATGGCTGTCCAGTCTCTTCTTAAAAACTTCCAGTGTTGGAGCACTCACCGCTTCTGGAGGCAGGAATAAATGCAGATAAAATGTTTGAGATTGGGTGAAAGAGACCACGTTTATTGAGTATAAGAAGATCTTCCTGGAGAGATGCAAACTTATATATATATATATATATATACACATTTAGGTACTTCACCCTGTTTATGAACCTCCTTAATGACTGCAGTGAAGTGGAAGATGAGAGTGCACAAACAGGCGGCCGGAAACGTGGGATGTCTCGAAGATTGGCTTCCTTGCGGCACTGCACCGTTCTGGCTATGTCAAACTTGCTCAACGCGAACGTGGATAGCGGCCTTATGCACTCTATAGGTAAAATGGATGAGCTTCTCCTTTATATTGTGGACTTCGGAAATGCAAAACTGTACCTAAACTCTTACCTTTCATTGTTGGTAGGGCTAGGATATCACAAAGACCTCCAGACAAGAGCTACATTTATGGAGGTCCTCACCAAAATTCTGCAACAGGGCACTGAGTTTGACACCCTGGCGGAAACGGTGCTGGCAGATCGGTTTGAAAGATTGGTGGAGTTGGTCACCATGATGGGTGACCAGGGAGAATTGCCCATTGCTATGGCCTTGGCAAATGTGGTGCCTTGTTCCCAGTGGGTAAGATGACTCACACTGTTGGTTGCTCCTTTGTGACTTTAAATTGGTGAATGTTGAATGCGAGTTACAATTGGGTTATAATACACAAATGAGGACAGACAAGAGGGAGATCACAATCTATTGTCTAATTTTTAAGAGGTCTACACACCAGCGACAGAGGCTTTTTGTTTCAGAATAAGTTAATAAAAGGAATATCTACCTACAAGGTCTTATTTTAAGAGAGAGATTAAAAAAAAATACTTGACCTCAACGGATATAGTTGAACTCATTCTGAAATGAGCATATGATCAAAACTACCTGTTTTCATTACAGATAGTCCTTGACTTACAACTGTAATTGACCCCAGAATTATGGTTGTTAACTTGTGGGGTTTTTTAATTAGGTCGCTGCATTAACTGCATCCAATTTTATGATATATTTTTTTGCGGCAGTTATTAAGTGAACTCCACGGTTGTTAAGCAAACGCCTCAGTCATTAAGTGAACCCATTTCCCCAATGGCTGTTTCCTGCTGGAAACCAGAAGGAAATGCTGGAAACTTGTAAAAAACACTGAAAATTGTGGTCATGTGATTGCGGAATACTGCAAATGGCCATAAATGCAAGTTGGTTGCCAAGCACCCAAAATGGGATTACATGACTGCAGAGGGTGTGTGTGTGTGTGTGTGTGTGTGTGTGTGTGTGTGTGTGTCTGGCCATCAGAACTTTGAAAACGGGTAATAAGCTCTGGAGAGGGCTGTCGGAGCCTTGAATGTTGCTAAGCGAATGGTCATTAAACAAGGACTACCTGTATTCTAATCGTAAGTCCAATCTTGTTAACTGTATTGGCTTGTAGTTTTGAGTCCTGCACAAACCCAACCCACAGTGGCTTATTCAACAAATCAAGAACAAAGTTTAATTTAACCTCTTTCTGTTTGTCTTCTCTTTTTTTTGAAGGATGAACTAGCTCGTGTCCTCGTCACCCTTTTTGACTCCAGGCACTTGCTTTACCAGCTGCTCTGGAACATGTTTTCTAAAGAAGTGGAGCTGGCTGACTCCATGCAGACTCTTTTCAGGGGAAATAGTCTGGCTAGCAAAATAATGACTTTCTGCTTTAAGGTACATTTGATCTTCAAATCTGGTTGACGTGCAGAGAGATTTGGGGCAAAAGGTTAAGACACACCAAACCAGATGAACTTGAAAAAAATTGGCATTCCCTGTTAAAATGCAGGTTTGAAGTTGTATCAAAATCACAGTAAAATGATTCTATATGCTGATTTTACACTAATACACAGAATTCCCAGCACGGCAGTTATTAAGGATGCAGGCAGATTTTTCAAAAATCCATTTTAGTACAACATGTTATTTTTTAATGTCTAAATGACAGCTGTCAATACTTTTTGCTGCGGCAGTTTCACATTTTGGGTGGCCCATGGATCTCGTGTTTCAGGGCATCCCCTTCCTCTTTGTTCTCAGCTCTGCTTGCTGAATCTCCCAATCAGCCTCTTTTCCTTATGCGCCAGTTGGAAAACTACGTTGTTGAAAACTTGCATATGGAAAAGAGATCTCTGACCCCCAAAAGAGGTATTGGTTCAGGTGGGTGACCAAACATGCTAACTCCGAGCAAATGTTATGTATAAAAGCATGAAAAGAAACAAAATGGTCAGACAGTAAGCTAAAGGTGGGAACAAGCATACACTTTTTTTTCCTTTGGATGAAACCAATTTGAACGGGCGGGTAAACTGTCTCACGCAGGTGTACGGTGCAACCTATCTACAGAAGCTTTTGGAGCCTTTATTAAGAACTGTAATTACATCCCCAGAATGGCAGCCTGTGAGCTTCGAAGTGGACCCTACAAGGTTTGATTTTGGAATAGTAATGGGGAGGGCACGCAAAGGGAGAAGGAGGGAGAAGTTTCTGCTCTTTCTTCTTATTTTTCCTCCTTTTTTTGGGGGGGGGTTCTCCCTGGTTTTGAAATTTGCATCATAAGGGTCTTCTCTCTGGATCTTTTATTGAAAAGAGGCAAGAGGTGAGCTGCTTTGCAAGACCACTTTTTTCCAACACTTTTCTGCCCAGCAAAACAACCAGGTCTTAAGGATTTTCTAAAAAGGCCAACAGAATTCTCTTATGGGATTATTGTGGGGAAAAATAAGAGGTAGCAGAAGAACACTCTTATCATAATGTTTCTCAACCTTAACAACCTTAAGATGTATGGACTTCAACTCCCAGAATATCCGAGCCAGCGTGGCTGGCCGGGTTATTCTGAGAGTTGAAGTCCATACATCTTAAAAGTCATTAAGATTGAGAAACAGTGATCTGGATCGGTGTTTTTCGACCTTGGCAACTTTGAGATGTGTGGACCTCTGCTTTCAGAATGCTGGCTGCGGAATTCTGGGAGCTGAAGTATAAAGGTGCCAAGTTTGACAAAGGCTGATTTAGATTACATTCTCTAATCAACACCTGGAGCATGCCTTTCTTTCATATGATGGGATGGGTAGAAACAGTTGGAGAAAAACAACCTCTTTCTTGGAACAGTGGGTGATACACTAATCCAGGGGTAGGCAACCGTGGCTCTTTTATGACTCGTGGACTTCAACTCCCAGAATTCCTGAGCCAGCCATGCTGAGGGGAAAGAGAGAGTTTCCATGGTGAGTCATGCTGGCTCAGGAATTCTGGGAGTTGAAGTCCACGAGTCATAAAAGAGCCAAGGTTGCCTACCCCTGCACTAATCCCTTTACTGTCATGGTTGAATTTTTTGCTACCTAGTTTAGATATGTTCATTTTGGAGTGTTGCAGGCTATGAGGTACTGAAATGAAATTACTCTTGCTAAGGACTGATCTGTTTTTTTATTAGACGCACATTCTGTTTTTCAGCCAAGACTGGTTCTCAAAGCAGTTTTATAGCTGAGAATGAGACGGGCAGTACCCAAATTTGATCAGTAAATAATAAAAATGCAGCAGGCATATAATTATATATATATACAATATAATTAGGAGTCAATTTTAATATTTGCAATTAAGTGCTTTTTTCTCCTGGACATAGGCAGATAGTAATAAAGTTCAAAAGCCAACTTTTTTCCACTCACTGGGAAGATAGTTACAGGTGGGCATGGATGATTATAAATAGCTAATGGTGAAATCTCAGTCATCTGATAATCAATGATACAGTTGGAATCTTGAATGTAGACTTGTGGCCTCTGGACCCATTGGAAATCCTGCAAGAAGGCCTTGTCCTTATTTATTTATTTATGTATTTATTTTATTTAGAAAATTTGTGTTGCTGCCTACTTGCATGTGGTGACTCAAGGCGGCTTACATCAGTAGAAAAAAACCCTATAAAAATAAAATAACAAGTGCAAAAATAAAATAATATAATAACCCCACCCCTATCCCAGCGACAACACAAATTAAACTAGCCATGTGTTGGGCTCTATCCCACTCTGGGTTCCCCAGGCCCACTGGCAGAACCAGGCTAATCTCTGAGGGAATGATGTTCCAGAGAGAGGGAACCACCACAGAGAAGGCCCTTCTTCTGGGTCCCGCCAGATGCATCTCCTTAGCGAACCAGACCCGCAATATTCCTTGCCTCCCCGCTCTAGTGGGTCGGGTAGATGTGACCAGCAAGAGACGGTCCCTCAGATAACCTGGTCCCAAGCCATGAAGGGCTTTAGAGGTGACAACCAGCACCTTGAATTGCACCCGGAAGTAAATCGGCAACCAATACTCCTCCCACAGGAGAGGTGTCACATGTTCACACCAAGGTCTGCACAAAACCATGCAGGCTGCTACATTTTGTACCAACTGGAGCTTCCGGATGTTCTTCAGGGGCAGCCCCATGTAGAGCGTGTTGCAATAGTCAAGACGGGGGGTGACTAAGGCATGAGTGACCGTGGGTCACTCTGGAGCCTCCAAAAGTCACGTAAGCATTTTTGCATGATTTTTGGAGGCTCCAGCTGAGAGCAGAGCTGTCTTGCGTGAGAGGCCTTGTTTGTCCGGGTGTGTGTTTGTGTGTCTGGGTTTCTGTGTGACACCAGCAGAGTCTAAATAAGGCATTTTCTGAATGTTTGACATGCCAAGCACAAAACGTTCACCATCATTTGATGCAGACAGTTACTGTCCAATGTACTGGAATTGCATCTCCCAGACAATTCAGCAGCCTGGTAATTCTGTTAATTTCTACCCCAATTCACTTGGAAATTTCCAAGTTGGGAAAGGCTGCCTCCCCCTTCTTGGTTGGTAACACTAAGCAGGAGAGAACCATAGCTGCAGTGTGGATCCTTGCAAAAGAAGCCACACACCCGACCCGTTTTTTTTAAAACTGAAGCTAGGGAGTTTGGGAAAGCTTTCACAGGCCTGTCTTGCAGATTGGAATCCAGTGAAAGCCTGGATAGTAACCAGCGGAGCCTTCTTCAGATGACCGAGAAGTTCTTCCATGCCATCATCAACTCTTCCACCGAGTTCCCACCTCAGCTTCGGAGCGTTTGCCACTGTCTCTATCAGGTATGAAACAGTCCGCCAGTGTTACTGCTGTCAACGCTGCTAATATTGAATATTCTTGCTTTGACAAATTATGCTGAACTGTCTGGTACTTTTAGAGTTAAATTCAGAGGAGAATGAGGGAGGAGGGAAAAGCCCTCGAAAGAGGACAGAAGAGAACCTTTGCCCTTCAAACTAATTGGAGAATGTAAATCATGACAGCAGAATAAGGAAGAGGAAATGCTAGCAAAAATAACTGCTGGGTGGGTGGAAATTTCAGATCTTAGCATCCCCTTTTATCATGCCGTGCCGACATTTGTCACATGAATAAAAAAGACTTTTTAGGATAAGATGCCTGGAAGTTCTTTGAAGTGTTTCCTTAGTCGGAACCATGACAACTGCATTGAAAAGTGGGGAAAGACTAAAGCTCCGTGTAAGAATAAACAGGAGACAGTGAAATTTAGGAAACCTTTCCAAGAGTGCACAATCCAATGTGAGTCGGTCACCAGGATCAGAGGTTTTGTCTTCCGCGCTTTCGGACACATGCTGGAACCCATCCTCGGGGAAACTTCTCTGTGTGCTCTGGGCTGTTTTCTGTGTGGTGAAGTTCCCTAAGGATGGGCTCCAGCTTGTGTCTGAAAGCTCGGAAGACGAAACCTCTGACCCAGTGACATGATCCTGGGACATGCAGATTTGCCTATCCAGGACTCCCTGGAGAACAAGCAGCTGGCTGAAGGAAATGCCTATTCATTGCTCATCATTCTTTTGCTTTGGTTTTTTTTAAAAAAAATAAAATAATCCAGGCATACGTCACCTGCGACTGTCCACTTATTCCCAAACATCCCCAGATATCAGCAAATGTAAACCCCCACAATATTGCCCAAAGCATTAATGGAAATGGCAACTGAGCCCTGGAGTGCCACAATCAGCTACCCCTTGTTTGATCTACGCTAGAACGTTAGTGATGTAGGTTGTGTTCCCTCTTCTTCCATACTGTCATGTTTGAGATCTAATGAGTCAAATTTATGGCTTCCTGGGGAGAGAGGTTGGAGCCTAATTTGATGATGGATCCCGTTTTGTTTTCTGGTGTAATTCTCACTCTTTCCAAACCCCAAGAAGCAAAGATTCCCCTTCATGGTGCTCTGATTTGGGGTGTATTCAGAAAATAGACCCTTGCCCACTTCTTAAATGTTTCTGAAATAAGGGCAGACCTTCCGGCTCTGACCTTTGGAAGACAGAGGGGTGAGACTTTTCCTAAGCTGTGCTGATTTTCCAGGATGCTTAGAAAACAAGTAGAACTTGTGTAGATTTTGGTGTATGCCATATATCGGAGGTAGGCAACCTTGGCTCTTTTATGACTCGTGGACTTCAACTCCCAGAATTCCTGAGCCAGCATGGCTGGCTCAGGAATTCTGGGAGTTGAAGTCCACGAGTCATAAAAGAGCCAAGGTTGCCTACCTCTGCCATATATCAGCAGTGGTTTCCTTTCTCCACCTCAGTGTCTCTTCCAGGCATTACACAATCTCCCATACATTCACAAAATAAACTATTCTCACCGTCTTTCTGAATATCTGGGATCCAGAACTGCAGGGAAGACATTCACTCCTTGAAGCCAAGTCTCGGAAGAATCACTTGGAACTCATCCTTTTGCATGGAGAGGGATGTGGCTAGCATATAAGTGGCAGGGTGTAAACTCCTGAGGACAAGTAACCTTTTGTATACCTGGAGGCTGTTTGGGATGAGAAATGCAGTAGTCATTTCCCCACAGGTTTCAGGTCAAACTAAAGGTAAAGATTTCCCCTGTCCAGTCATGTCTGACTAGGGTAGGGGGTGCTGCCCATCTCTGCTTCTTAGCCGAGGGAGCCAGCGTTGTCCAAAGACACTTCTGTGGTCATGTGGTCCATATGGCTATATGCCAGTGGTTCTCAACCTGTGGGTCGGGACCCCATTTGGGGTCGATCGACCATTTCACGGGGGTCACCAAGCAAGGCTGTCTGCCATTTTTTTTGTCCGCCATTTTTTTGTCCGCCATTTTTTTTTCCCTTTTCCGGCAGGTGCCTTACCTCCCTTGGGCTGGGCCAGCTGGTGGTCGGCCTGCTCCGTCTCTGCCGCTTGCCAGCTATGCCTCGGCCGGCGCAGGGGGCGGAACCACGCATGCGCGGCGCTCCCGGGCAGGGAAAGTCCTCGACTTACGACCGGTTGGGTAGTCCTCAACTTACGACCGGTTTAGTCCTCGACTTACGACCGGCTTAATCCTCGACTTACGACCGGTTGGGGTCGCGGCATTAAAAAGGTTGAGAACCACTGCTATATGCCAAAAGCACACAGAACGCTGTTACTTTCCCACTGAGGTGGTACCTGTTTATCTACTCACATTTGCATGCTTTTGAACTGCTAGGTGGGCAGGTGAGTTACGGGAGCTCATCCTGTCACACGGCGCTTGGGTCTTGGAACCCGGGCTGTCACTTTCCAGCTGACAAGCTCAGCATCTTTAACCGCTGAGCCACTGCGCCCCTTTGAGGTCACCCTGTTTGGTTCCTTTTTTGTTCGTGTGCTTTAAGACAAGACTATTAGGTTAATACAAACGGGAGAGTGGAATGCAGCTAAATTATATCTGCCCTTTTTGTAAAAAAAACCAAACAAACGTGCAGTTGAAAAATGGCAAATCGGTGTCAAGCTTGGCAGTGTAATCTTGGCAGGCTCCTGGAGTCAAGAGTGGTGCTGGGGAGGGGGGCACATGCAATTTTTTGGTCACCAGTTGCCTACCTTGGCCCAAACTTTGTAAAAAACAAAATAAAGTCCCCAATTTAAAATTCAATAACGGTTTTGTCCTACGGCCTTTTTGCCATTTCAAAATAGCAGTGGTGATTTTTTTTCCCTCTAGTTTTTGCTATGGTCGATTGGTTTGGTTTTTGCTTTCCAGAAAAGAAAATTCCCTGTTTGATTGTCAACTGGTCACTTTATTAGAGTCACCAAAGTGGAGTGGATCCTGGGTTATATTTGGGATGTGTCAAATGTAACCTGTGCGCTAAGGTGGACTTTAAAGCATGTAAAATATTCCAAGTACAGAAGAGAAATTTCCAATATTCTAGATTTGGAACAAACATTCTTCATTTCATCATTTTGTCTCATGCTTGGGAAAAAATGGTCCATTTTAGCAAAAATACGGCACATTGTTCTGTTTAAGTTCTGTTTACATCTTGGAACAAAATGGCTCTCTTGTTTGTTTAGTTTTGTGTACTAAAGGTTTGGGCACTACAGAAGCTCCTGTACTAGATGCGGGAGCTTCTGTGTTTGTTCCTCCCAGAAGTTTTATATGTCTGAAACAGAAATAGTATGCTCAGGGGGATCATAGGATAATGGGATTATCCAAGTAGGACATGGCATAATTGAACATTTCTCTTCATAAAAGTTTCCCTCTCAGAAAATGGAAGGCCTAACAATAGGCTTAACTACAGCCTTTCTTTCTTTTCTTTTCTTTTTAAAAAAAAAACTTTGTTAAATTTCAACAAAAGATAAAATACAAAGAAATTGAAAAATAGGAATTAGAAAAGCTCAGAAAAAGCAAAATTAAAAGTGCAGAAAAAAGGGAATAGAAGAAGAATAACTTCCAGTTTTCTTTGGTACAGATACAAATATAAAATACATTAACTTCTTAATTTAAAATCGACCACAATACACAATGTTTTTATCATCCTAAACAGTTCTGATCATCCAATCCCCAAATTACACTTTCATTTCTTTCAGTGTCATGCAAAAAAGTTCTAAAAATTATTTCCAGTGTAGACAAAGTCTGTTCTTTAACCAAACCAGTCCATTTTGTCATCTCAGCCCATTCCATTCACTTCACCATCCATTCTTCCATTGTAGGAATTTATAGGGCTTTCTCTCTCTGTGCGTACAAAAGTCTCACTATTGTTGTCATATATAAAAACGAAATCCTGTGGCTTCTTTCTTGAACTACAGCTTTTCTGTGTAGCTGGGTATGATGTTTTTGATTCAGAAGCAGAGAGTTAAAAACAGATGGGCTCTGCCTTTCGTTCAGAAAGAGGACAGCAATGGATGGTATCATATGATTCTTCCCTTGAGGAGGAGCCTTGAGGAGCACTCGGAGGCTCCAGCTAGTCCAGAATGCGGCCGCGAGGGCGGTGTTGGGAGGGACTCGTCGCTCCCATGTAACACCGCTGCTGCGCGAGCTGCACTGGCTGCCGGTGGCTTTCCGGGTGTGCTTCAAGGTGTTGGTTATCATCTTCAAAGCGCTCCATGGCATCGGACCTGGATATCTCCGAGACCGCCTTCTGCCTCAGAGTGCCTCCCATCGGCCGGTACGCTCCCACAGAGTGGGTCTCCTCAGGGTGCCGTCAGCCAGACAGTGCCGGCTGGCGGCTCCCAGGGGGAGGGCCTTCTCGGTGGGAGCCCCCACCCTCTGGAATGAACTACCCCCAGAGATCCGGGTGATCCCGGATCTCCCTTCCTTCCGCCGCGCCCTTAAGACATGGCTATTCCAACAAGCAGGACTGGCCTAGGGGGAGATTTTTAATGGGGTTTTAAAAATAATTTTAAATTGACACAGGCCACATCAAATATTTTATTTTAATTATGTTTTAAAGTGGGTATCTCTATCTCTGTATTGTTTTTATTAGGCTGTCAGCCGCCCTGAGTCCGCAAGGAGAAGGGCGGGATAAAAATCCAAACAAATAAATAAAATAAATAAATAAAGTTCTTCTGAACACAGTAATCCAGTGCTGAAAAGAAAAGAATAAGGCATGATATACCTGGACATTAAATGTTGTCTCTACCCCACCTACTCTGGATGTAGTTTATGTCATTCCAAAGACCGTGAGCTCTACTGTAGATGTAAATGTAGGGCAGTGGTGGAGTGGGGTGGGGAACGAGGGTCCTCTTATGACTAATGATGCAATTACAAGTAGTCTTCAACTTACTGCTACAATTGAGCCCAAAATTTCTGTTGCTAAGTGAGACTGTGTTCAGTGAATTTTGCCCCATTTTATGACCTTTCTTGTCACAATTAAGTAAATCACTGCAGTTCTTAAGTTAGTAACATGGCTGTTAAGGGAATCTGGCTCCCCCATCGACTTAGCTTGTCAGAAGGTCACGCAAGATGATCGCATGATCCCTGGACACTGCAGTCGTCACAAATATGAGTCAGTCACCAAGCGTCTGAATTTTGGTCACTTGGCCCTGGGGATGCTGCAGCGATCCTAAGTTTGAAAAACAGTAATAAGTCACTTTTTTTCAGTGCTGTTGTAACTTCAGTCAGTCACTAAAGAAACTGTCAAGGACTACCAGTAATTGCTTTAGTTTGGCAAGATATTTGTCTATAGATGAGGAAAAACAAAGGAGCCTGAGGCTGTCTCCTCCTCCCCCCCAACGGTCTCCAAATACTGACACAACTTTGTGTAAGAGCAAGACTGACAGAACCAGGGATGGGGGTGAAAGAGGGATCATCCAGCATCACTACATGGCCATCTAATCACGTGCTCACTGAGGAATCTTCAACTGAGAAGATTCCTGTGCATAGGTTTTTAGCAACAAATAACTGTAATTTAACCCTCACCTATCGATCTGGTGTTTTTGTGCTTGACATTTTGACAATATCATTTGAATGACAAAAGACTGAGATACATAGGTAGATACCCGACGCCATGATGCTGGATGACCGTGTAGCACCTTCATACACAGATGTTAAATAGGAGGAGGAATGTTGAACTTTGTGGCATCCCAGAAAGTAGTGGCCTTGAGCTAACTCTCCCCACCCCTGTCCCAGTAGTAGTAGTAGTAGTAGTAGTAGTAGTAGTAGTAGTAGTAGTAGTAGTAGTAGTAATAATAATAATAATAATAATAAAGTTGGAAGGGACCTTGGAGGTCATCTAGTCCAACCCCCTGCTCAGGCAGGAAACCCTATACCATTTCGGACAAATGGCTGTCCAGTCTCTTCTTAAAAACTTCCAGTGTTGGAGCATTCATCGCTTCTGGAGGCAGGTTGTTCCACTGGTTAATTGTTCTAACTGTCAGGAAGTTTCTCCTTAGATCTAGGTTGCTTCTCTCCTTGATTAGTTTCCACCCGTTGCTTCTTGTCCTGCCTTCAGGAGCTTTGGAGAATAGCTTGACTCCCTCTTCTTTGGGGCAGCCCCTGAGATATTGGAACACTGCTATCATGTCCCCCCTCGTCCTTCTCTTCGTTAAACTAATGATTGGAACTGCCCTGAAAGAATGAGGAGAACCCCCACAACGCTATGCTTCCCACTCCCACTTCCCTGAGCTAGCCCAGAAGGATATCATGGTTAATCGTATTAAAGATAGCTGGCAAGTCAAAAAATGTCAAGACCCAATCCTGATCTTGCCATAGGTCAACAAGTACAGTCAAAGCAATCTCATTCCTGAAACCTAATTGGAAGCCATGATTATTTGGAGTGATTTGTGCTAATTAGTCTAATAGAGAAAATGTGCTAACAAAACTGAACTGAAGAAGCTTCTTGGATGAGAAGCGAAAAGTCTTCAAGAGAAAAAACACAAAGTCCAGTTGCCTTTTGAAAAAGCACCTTTGGGACAACCCTGACCTGGATGACTGAGAATCACCATAGACTACTCTAACAAAACTTCTTTGTCTGAATGTTTGAATAAAGATTATAATATCCAAAGATATAACAGGATTGGCATTCATTCCTACTATAGAGCTTTTGATCACATGGTAAAGTTGATGGATGCTGGCAGTGATCCAGCAGCTTGTATGGTGTTTACTTGTTACTTGCCTCCTAGCGCTAAAGACTCTCTCTTGAAATGCCCTTGAGTTATAAGTGGAGGATGAATTGATAAACAAATGCTCTTTTACTTGGATACTTCTGGAGAACACACAGGTGTGTTGAAAGGAATGAGTGATCCTCAAGACTGGAGTTTTGAAGCTAACATTTTTCCTTATTCAGCCATTACAGCCTTTTGTCTCTAGCAAGCACTCAAAGCAATTAACTGCATTTAAAAACAAAAGCAGAATGTTAAATTTAAAAATGCACATTAAAATTAATAATGTGAATTCTAAAGTCATCAAACAAGAGGTGTGTTCTATAGGCAGGGAAAACACAGGTGCAGTTCCTCTTGGCAGACCTTTGATAATGAGATCTGTATATCTTAACAACCAGATTTGTTTCTATAAAGTGAGTGAGTGTCCTGAATACTCGGGCCTTAAGCCAACTAAGGGCTGTGAAGGTCAGTTCTGATTATTTAAGTTGGGCTTCCTAAGCAGCTAATGAGCAGCACAGCATTGCATTTTTTATTATTTTGTACAACTGCAATGTTCAGTTTGTTTTAAAAGATATTTCCATAAAAGTCCCTATTTTGGTGTCTATAAGATTCAGTGAGACCTGAGTGCACGGGTGTAGGAGTTGATCTACAAATCATTAAAATACATCCGATCATTGATTTTTTTTTTTTGTAATGAGTCTATCTCCCAATCCTTGTCTGAATGTTTGAATAAAGATTATAATATCCAAAGATATAACAGGATTGGCATTCATTTTTCAACCTTGTACTGTACCATCTGAATGTATGAAAAGGTATGAAAAATACACCGAAGCAGTCCTATTTTATTATGGTTAAAATAATGTCTCTCAAGGCTTGAAAAATACTTTAGGCTTACAGCCAGTTTTGCAACTGATTGGAAAATGACTTGGTATTTATCTTTTTTTTATTATTGTTGTTTATTACTCAGCCAAGCTTATTCTGCTGTCTCAGCGGATGTTTTAGTAAAAGACAATGCAGAACCATAACTCTTGGGCATCACACCATTTGAGATAGCTTGTCAAAGCCTGCTGTGCAAGATGTTGTGAAGAGGGATAGAGGAGCACTTTCACAAGCCTTTGCAAATTGGGGACATTAGTTTTTATTTATTTGTCCTTGGCAACCACTTCAGCATGAGTTTGTAAAATGAAAAAACAGAAATCTATAAATTTTGCTTGCTGTTTGGAAAACCCACCAGAGACAGAATAAAATGGGTGCCACCAGTTGAGCTGGGAATGCTTTTGGAAAGAATATATTTAATTTTTTTTGCTGGAATATATTCGGAGCCATAGAGATCTTTTAAGTGCCTCATTAGCAGGTGCTCTTTTTGAACAACTTAACTTAGCCAGAAATAGTAGAAATGATTGGAACAACATTTTGCTCGCTTACAATTTGTGACTAGATTGTGGTCACCAACCTGAAGCAGAAATTCCATCAAGCGTTCGTCTGCCCGCTTCATTTTTTTTTCTTTGTTTCATTCTGTTACATTTGATTGTGTGATTTCATGTACAGAACAACATTTTTTTTTTGCTGTATGTAGTTGGTGCAGTGACTTGTTTGTGCTCATCTCTGTTCTGTAGGCAACTTGCCACTCTCTGCTGAATAAAGCTACGGTAAAAGAAAAAAAGGAAAACAAAAAAGCAGTAAGTTTTGGAGAAGTTTTATTAGCCATTTCTTTCAAAAGCACACAAACGCCCTCTTTCTTTCCCCCAGTTTCTGTTTTTGCTCTTTCCTTCCAACCTTCTTTGACACCCATTGTCAAATCATTCTACTAATTCTGGCACTAAAAACGCTTTTAAATTGAATTAACACTCGTCTGAAGCGATGCTTGTTTCGAAAGCAAAAATCTGAATGGGCCTCTTTCTTCTTCCTTTCCTTCAGAAGGAAATCTCTGCCGCTCCACAACAGCTTTCTGATAACCCTCTTTGCCAGCAGTTGCAATGCTAAGAAACAAGGGGAAACTCAGAAATTAAGGACAAGGAGTATTGTTTGCCTTTATGTTAGTTGGACTGTCTAGGATAGGGGTAGGCCACCTTGGCTCTTTTATGACTCGTGGACTTCAACTCCCAGAATTCCTGAGCCAGCCATGCTGAGGGGAAAGGGAGAGGTTTCCATGCTGAGCCATGCTGGCTCAGGAATTCTGGGAGTTGAAGTCCACGAGTCATAAAAGAGCCAAAGTTGCCTACCCGTGGTCTAGGAAAAAAAGAGAGAGAGGGAAAAAAACCCACCTGTCTTAAAGAGATTTTGGCATCCTTTCATTTTTTCTTGATGGCATTGAAGAGGCTGCCCAGGAAAACACAGGGATTTTATAGACCAGTGGTGGCGAACCTATGGCACGCGTGCCAGAGGCGGCACTCGGAGCCCTCTCTGTGGGCACACAGGCCATTGCCCCCAGCCTTGCCTCCCCCGCGACCCCCTCCTCACCAGCAGCCCCCCTGGAGGAGAGTTGCCCCCGAACGTGGCCCATGCAGAGCAGTGCAGCCAAGGACATGGCAACCAGGCAAGCGTAGACAAGACTCTGCTCTCACGCTCCATTGGACACAGTTGATGCTGCGGGGTGCGGGCAGAGGGCGTGGCCGCCATGGCGCTGCTGGGCTGCCTGGGCGATCTGCGGCGGGCCCTGGAGGCGGTGAGTGGCCCTGCGGGCAGGCGGGGCAGGGGTGGAGCGGGGGCAGGGCAGGGGGTGGAGCGGGGGCGGGGCCAGTTTTTGGGCACTCGGTCTCTAAAAGGTTCGCCATCACTGTTACAGAGCTTATCAAAACGTGAGCAGCAGCAAGTGGGGAGGGGAATGTGGATTATGAAGCGTGTGTCAGATAAAAAGGACCTTGTTGTTATGAAAACTGTGTGGATGCATGGTTAGTGCATGTTTCAAAGATAATGTTTTCTAAAGGAACCAATTTTCAAAGCTGGAAAGGAGTGGGGGGAGAACACTGCAGTAATAAAGCATGACTGCGCCAGTTACAGGTAGTTCTCAACTTACGACCACAACCGGGACCAGAATTTCCACTGCTAAGCAAGATAGTTGTTAAGTGAGTCACGCTTGATTTTGTGACCTTTTTTGCCATGGTTGCTAAGCGGATCACTGCGGCTGTTAAACGAATCATGAGGTTGTGAATCTGGCTTCCCCCGTTGACTTTGTCGAAAGCTGGCTGGGAAAGTCGCAAACGGTGATCACGTGACCTCCGGGACATCGCAACCATTATAAATACATGCGGGTTGCCAAGCGCCCAAATGTTGTTCACACGCCCGTGGCCATACTGCAACTGTTGTAAGCGCGAAGACCAGTTGCAAGTCACTTTTTTTTAGTGCTGTCGTAACTTCGAACGGTTGCTAAACAAATGGTTGTAAGTCAAGGACTACCTATACTCATTTTTTCTCTTATCAGTTTGGTGAAGTGGAGTAGAGCAGGGGTCTCCAAGGGGCTTGCAACTGGGCTGTGGAAGTGGCTGGTGAGCGCATACGTGTGCACACGCATCCTCACTTTTGTGAGCAGCGGGTGAGCGCGTGCACGGGCACTCGGTTTGCTGAGCAGCAGGCTCGCATGCACGCTGCTCGTGCAGATGGAGCTGCGGTCACACATGTGTTAGTTAGTTCAGAACTAAAGAAGCTTCTTGGATGAGAAGTGAACTGTCTCCAAGGAAAAACAAAGTAAGTCCAGTTGCCTTTTGAAAAAACATCTTTGACCTGGATGACTGAGCATCTCCATAGATAAGTGATGATATGGAAGATCTAACAAGATTTTGGTTTTGAGGAGTGGGGGGGTGGGGGCACCACATGGCCACCTGGATTCTTTGTATGGAGGAGGTTCCTCAATGCCACTTCTGGTAGGTTTTCATTAGTATCATGCATTCTGAGTTCGTTTATTTATTTTCTCCCTGTGGTTCTTTCTGTGCCCCAATTCAATCAGTCAAGGTAGGAAAAGAGTGTTGCCTATTTAACTCATGTTTCTTGCTTGCCCAAATGTTCTCTGGGTTAAACAAGGCCCACAATTTGCTTTTGACTTCTAGGTTGACTTTTACGCTGTGGGCCATCTTCTCTAACCTTTTATGAATTGTCAGGTTGTGATCCAGAGATGCCCATTTGCTGAAAATGGCCAGTCCATTAGAAGTCCGTATTTTAGCCCTATCCTTTGGTCAAAGCAGAGCTCTGTTCCTTAGCATTAAAGCGATCTTTTGCAATCCCCAAGCCTTTGGACAGTGTTTTGAATTCTGTTGAGTTATTGAGTTCATTTTTCTCTGAATTAGCAGAGCAGTTCTACACTTCTATTAAATTTGAAGAATTCTCAGTCTGGCTGGTCTTTGGATAGGTGATAACACAAAAGTGTGCCACCTTGACTTTGGGCATGGAAAGAAAGGCAGGGATAGATAGTGATGTGTCTACAGGTACTTCTTTGTATGCCCTGGAGCTGAAATGCAACTAACAAGGACTAGCCATTCTTTGCATAAATTGCAACTAACATGGGCTATCTATTCTTTTCACAAAGTCTGTTTTTGCATAAGAATTCTTCACAGTGGTTCTTGTTAGACATATAATGGGAACGGGGTGGGGGTGGGCTTTGATTCTGATTACTTACCTACAGGGACTCATGGAAGCTAAGATCAGAAACCAGAATCCCATCAGGGACTCATGGAAGCTAAGATCAGAAACCAGAATCCCGTCGTAAGAGAGTAGCAAGCTCTTAAGCTTGAAGGTCATTTATGCCTTTCCAGATCATCTTTGATTGGAGTTGCTCTTTTGAGACCCAAAGTGTCCCAGAAGGATTCAGGGTGGAAGGAAATTGTTTGAATATATTTGTTCTGATCTTTTCCCCTTCTCTCCTTGGTCTTCTGTAAAGAAACCCACCCAGAGTCGTATTAGTAAGATGGGTGGCATAGAAATGTAATAAATAAATAAATTAATGAGCGGTCCTTGGTGTTCTTTGAGCTTAGTTGTTTTATTGCAGATGTTTCATTACCAAACTAAGTAACATCATCAGTGCTACCTAGTTTGGTAATGAAACATCTGCAAGAAAACAACCAAGCTCAGAGAACACCAAAGATCCCTAATTTCAACCCTCAGGTACAGTTATTCTCCTCTTTTGACAGACAGACAGACAGACAGACTGACTGACTGACTGACTGACTGACTGACTGACTGACTGACTTTCTTATCTGTATAATAAATGCAGTTATTCTCTCACATGAGGGAGTACCATTTCGTGTGGCTATCTTTTTCACAGAGGATATATGTTAGGTTTTTTTTTTTTAACGAATGGGTGATTTTCATTCATGTTTTGTTGAAAGCTGTTGCTATGAGATTCATTCTCTGGTGCTTTAATTGTTATGAACCAAATGAGTTAGTCAATTGGCTCCATTAGTGAAAGTTGTTTTGATCAGAATTTTAAAATACTGGCTTGAATATAGAGTAACTTTTCCTATTAGTGTATTTTGAAATAGCTTCTTAGTTTTATTCTAGGAGATATGAAGCGCTGGCTTCACCGTAAGATATTTGTGTGTGTCTGTATGAAAGAGAATGTAACCCCTGTTGTTAAATCATGCCTTGTCTATACTATTATCAATAACTCTTTCTTCCTTTCCTCCTTATAACAATTTGGCCCTTGCCTCTGGAACCTGTTTAACATGGAAGCCATTTGGTTACTTGTCTAGTGTCATTCTGAACCAGTGACATGTCAGGCAGAGTTGGCTCAAGTATTCTCCTCTATTAATCTGGATTTTTATCCTACATTTAAATGACGGTTTTCTTAATGTCCACCCTGTACTATTTAGGTCGTCAGCCAACGGTTTCCTCAGAATAGCATTGGAGCAGTTGGGAGCGCCATGTTCTTGAGATTCATTAATCCAGCTATTGTGTCCCCATATGAGGCTGGCATACTGGATAAGAAGCCTCCACCAAGAATCGAAAGGGGTCTGAAGTTAATGTCAAAGGTGAAAAACTGTGTTTCTTTTATGCTGGATGGCGGGGAATAGCCAGGGTATGATGATGATGGTGGAACTGGGAGTCTTGTTTTTATGGGAGAGTTAAAATAAATGGTTTAAGAGATGGTAACCTGCATGCAGCTCTGAGGATTTGGGTATGATTCTTGGAGCCCCTCGAAAAGTTGACACAGGTTGTAATTGTAATAGAAGTAAAAAATTGTTAAATGTAGGAGGAATAATTATATTATATATTCAGCTTTATTAATGATAGATCATTCAACAGAAATTAAACTCAAATATAGTTTGCCTCAAGCTTGAGGTCTGGACTACAGGTAGTCCTCAGGTTACGACCGTTCACTAAGTGACCACTCAAAGTTATAATGGTACTGAACGAGGGGGGCTTACAACTGGTCCTTGAAGTTCTGGCCATTGCAACATCCTTTAGTCACATGATCCTCATTTACAACCTTCCCTGTTGGCTTCTCATAGGCAGAGTCAATAGGGAAGCTGGCAGGAAATCGTTAATTGCTCCTTGAAGTCACTCCCACTGCTTTTTCTCCCAAGGTGTTCCTTGATGCCGTGGGGATCTCATACTCCATAGCACCTACATGCCTGTACTCCATAGCACTTGCCCATGCCACCTACCTGCATACACTCTGTAGCACCAGACTGCGGCACTTGCCTACCTAGCAATAACAATAGCACTTAGACTCATGGTATAGGGCTCTCCAAGATCCCTTTCAACTCTGTTATTCTATTCTATTCTATTCCATTCCATTCCATTCCATTCCATTCCATTCCATTCCATTCTATTCTATTCTATTCCATTCCATTCCATTCCATTCTATTCTATTCTATTCTATTCCATTCTATTCTATTCTATTCTATTCCATTCCATTCCATTCCATTCTATTCTATTCTATTCCATTCCATTCCATTCTATTCGCTCACTTGCCTGTGGTGTGGTTTCAGTACCTTTTTCCATGTTGCAGTCACCTGAGGTCCTTGCTTAACAACGGCAAAAGGGACTTCAGAGATTGCCATCATTAAGAGATCCATTCACATGATGTTATACTTTACAACCGCATCACTTAATAATGGAAATTCTGGTCCCACCTGCTGACGTAACCTGGGGATTACCTTTACAGCCCTGGCATGCACTGAAGTATGCTTCTTTGGCCAAACAAACACTCCAATTTTAAGGCCTGCCTGCATAATCAAACATTCACCAATCTAGTGCGGACTCCGTTGTGTTGAACTTTGACAGGCCCTTAAGCAGTTGATTGTTTTCCCTTCTGACAAGTGATGTTGGGAGTCCAGTACATGGGATAAGCATCAGATTGGGGCAGGCTGCTTTTAACTAGTGAAGCTGTGCTAGCCAGAAGGTGTTTTAGGAGAAATGGGCATTTGATGGAATTTCACTGTATGCCGATGCACCCGGTTACGTTCATACTACGAAATATCTTAGATTAGAACAAATCTTCTGCAATACTTTGCATGAAATTCCAGAAAGGAAACTTCTGCAGCTGCGGTTCGCACGACTCACTCACTCCGTTGGTTTCTTTTGCTCAGGTACTTCAGAGCATCGCTAACCATGTCTTGTTTACAAAGGAGGAACACATGCGGCCTTTTAACGACTTTGTGAAAAGCAATTTTGATGCTGCAAGAAGGTGAGCCAGTAAGAGTGTTGATTTCTCTGAAGCAAGTTTTGTCTGTATAGTTTTTAAGCCAGAGTTAGAGTACAAGCTTGAGGCAGGTAATGAGTTCCAGCACTCACCATTTGAATACCACTGACATTGACAAAATCACTGTCAGTCAGTTGCAAAGGGCAGCTTTACTGGGAACAGCTTAGGGGGATACTTTTAATATCATCAAACAACATCTGCTTTGCCCAGGTATTTGGGAAGGACTCGAGAGGTGAATAAAAATGCCAAGTCCAATCTAAACATGTAGCTGACTAAGTGACCAAACATAATAATGACACCCCAAATTTTACATTAGGGGACTGAAGGCTAAAACATAAGGAACAGTTGCTGGAATTGGGTATGTCTAGTTTAACGAAGAAAAGGACGAGGGGGGACATGATAGCAGCGTTCCAGTATCTCAGGGGTTGCCATGGAAACTAATCAAGGAGAGAAGCAACCTAGAACTAAGGAGAAGCTTCCTGACAGAACAATTAATCAGTGGAACAACCTGCTTCCAGAAGCGGTGAATGTTCCAACACTGGAGGTTTTTAAGAAGAGACTGGATAACCGTTTGTCTGAAATGGTATAGCGTTTCCTGCCTGAGCAGGGGGTTGGACTAGATGACCTCCAAGGTCCCTTCCAACGGTGATGATGATGATGATGATGATGATTTTCGTTGATTAGAAAGACAAAAAGTCTGGATAGTGGACATTGCAGTACCTGGAGACATGAGATGGAGAGAAGTACAAATACAAAAATTTGCAAAAAGAAGTAGAGTGATTATGGCAATAGAAAGCAAAGATAGTGCCAGTAATATAATAGGTGCCTGGGATGCAATCCCAAAACAATTGGAGCACCACTTGAACACCATTTTTATTGACAAAATCACTACCAGTCAATTGCAAAAGGCAGTTTTATTTGTAACATCTTACATCCTTTAACAAGATTAAACATCAACATCTGCCTATCCCAGGTCATTGGGAAGGACTTGATAGGTGGATAAAAATGCTAAATCCAGTTTAAACATCTAGTTGACAGTCTCACCAACCATTGTATTGATACATAGGCCCAGAATATATGTGGATGATCTTTAGCTGTGGAGGTTTTAAAGAGAGATTGCAAGCAGTGGTGAAGAGGGAAAATTCTTCTCAGTCCTATTGGCCAATGGACTATCCAGGTGCCCCTAAAAGTTAGATGCATGGAAAGAACTATTGGGTGGGAGAGCTTTACCTTCAGAACTTAACTTATCGGCTTCCTGAGAGTTTTTTTCAGGAAGCAGGATGATGATTAATAGATGAACATTTTGGTCTAACATGGGTGCCTTTACATGCTTTAAAAATAGTATAGGGTCTCTTTTTGAGCAGGGGGTTGGACTAGAAGATCTTCCAAGGTCCTTTCCAACTCTGTTAAAAAGAAGTTGAGTTGGTTAGTTTACATTACTGACTTCTGTTGGAAAGGTCCTGATGCTGAGTCCTAGTAATCCATATCCGTCCTGTTGTGGAAGATGTTTTGATAAGAAAGGGCACAATGTCTTCTCTTTCCCTGTAGGTTTTTCCTTGACATTGCCTCAGATTGTCCAGCTAGTGATACAGTCAATCACAGCCTCTCTTTCATCAGTGATGGCAACGTGCTTGCACTACATCGTTTGCTGTGGAACAATCAAGAGAAGATTGGGCAGTACCTTTCCAGCAACAGGTAATAGTACGTGACTAGGGGTAAAAAGGCTGAGAAATAGCAATGGCACTTAGATTTGTATACCACTTCACAGTGCTTTACAGCCCCCTCTAAGCGGTTTACAGAGTCAGCCTATTTTCCCCCAACAATCTGGCTCATTTTACCGACCTCGGAAGGATGGAAGATGGAGTCAACCTTGAGCCAGTGAGAATCGCACTGCCAAAGTGCGGGCAGCCGGCAGTCAGCAGAAGTAGCCTGCAGTACTGCATTCTAACCATTGCACCACCATGGCTCCTGGACCTAATGCATATAAAAATAAAAGTTTCACTAAATCAACGGGGAATTTACGGTTGTGATAACATTAAAATTATTTTTTTCATTGATTAATTGAATATATACAACTAAAAAGTCTTATGTTGAGAAATAATTATACATTACTATAAAGTGCTAAACTGGAAGCCTCCCAGAGCTGTTTCGTTAGGAGATGGGTGACAGATAAATCAATCAATAAGCCAATAGTACTTGAGCATAGAGCAGACCCAAAGTGTAGATAAGATGGAGTAGATTGTACCCTGCGGGAGGGTTGGACAATCTTTAATTGAGAGGAAGAACATTTGCATTTTTGTGCAAAAATGTAACATGCAGTGGGACTTAGTTGTTCTTATACATCAATAAATCTTGGAATGGAGGAGGAAGAGTTGCCATTTAATACTAGAAATGTGGCCTCTAGATATAGTGAATAAGCGGGTTTTTAGTGTTTTTTTAACTATAGAAATAGTCTTTTGCATGCTATAAGTATTTGCTTCAGCAGCATTTCTCAGTCTTAGCAACTTTAAGCTTTGTGGACTTTAATTCCCAGAATTCCATGCTGGCTGGGGAATTCTATGAGTTGAAGTCCACACATCTTAAAATTGCTAAGACTGAAAACTCTGATTTACAATACAGGTAGTCCTAGACCAGGGGTAGGCAACCTTGGCTCTTTTATGACTCGTGGACTTCAACTCCCAGAATTCCTGAGCCAGCCATGCTGTCCTAGACATACGACTGGTTGACCTCCCACCCACCCCAAAAAAATATCGTCACAAGTCAAGGACGACCTGTATAACATCTAGTTGTCTATAGCAACTTGCAGATTGATAAACATCATATCCGTCAAGAGTCTTATATCCCTAAATTGTGATCATCCTCTAGGGACCACAAGGCTGTTGGAAGGCGACCATTTGACAAGATGGCAACTTTGCTTGCATACCTGGGTCCTCCTGAACACAAACCAGTGGCAGACACGCAGTGGTCCAGTATAAACCTCACTAGTTCCAAGTTTGAGGAATTTATGACAAGGTAAATGAATCCAAATGTTTGCTGGCCTGTTGTGATTTAATGATCTCTGCAGGGATGGGCAAAGTATTTCTTCCCAGATGTTAAATTTGAACTCTCAGCAGCCAAGGCCCCCCCTAGCACAAATGATATAAATGGATGCAATTAACACCTTTTATAGATTCAACTGATACCTGAAGTTAATGTACCATTCGTTCCTTGAATGCCATTGTAATTTTATTTAGATTCTTAACCATTAAATGGGAAGCTAGTGTGCTTGCAAAGCAAGCAAGCATCTTTAATTCCAAGGATCCTTTGGGGATCAGATCCTAGCAGAATTCTTAGAAAGTGAAAAAGGGTAGCGGGCTGCAACAGAATATTATCTGTGGAAGCTAACTCACTTTGCCCCCAAAACAAACCATGATGGGGGAGGGGGAAGATGCATCTTAGAAAACTAAAGAGAGTAGCAAGAAACAGCACCAGCAGAAGCCTTCATATCTATGTTTGCCCTGGCCACCATTTTGTGGGAGTTCAATGACTTGTAATTCCAAATAGATCCACTAGCCACAAAGTTTAGGGAATCTTTGACAGAGTCACAAAAGCGTAAATTGCTGCTTTCCTGCCTATATTTGTGTCCTTAGGCACCAAGTACACGAGAAAGAAGAATTCAAAGCCTTGAAAACCCTCAACATTTTTTACCAAGCTGGGACGACAAAAGCCGGCAACCCTGTCTTCTATTACATTGCTCGCCGGTAAGACGGTTTTCTGTTCCACCTTAAACCCGACTACTGAGAGTTGTAGGACATATAGGCCCAGCTTTTGCTTCGCTTTGAGCAGTGACAATTGTTTTGCCCTTTTGTGGTGGTTTTTTTTTTGGTACTCTGAAAGGCTTAGCAAGATGAGGTGTGCGTAACGGTAGTCCTCGACTTACAGCCGTTCATTTAGCAACCGTTTGAATTTACAGTGGCACTGAAAAAAGCGACTTACAAGTGGTGTTTGCAGTTGTGAGCATTGCAGCATCCCCGTGGTCTTCGTGATCAGAATTTGGGGGCTTGGCAACCATCCTGAATTTAGAATGGTTGATGTGATCGCTATTTGCAACTTTCCTGGCCTCTTCGAACAAGCAAAGTCAATGGGGGAAGCTGTATTCACTGAACTACCACACGATTCTCTTAACAACTGGAGGGATTTATATATTATTATTATTACAAAAATGGTTATAAAATTGGGCACAATTCACTTAACAACCGCATTCTGGTCCAGAGTCGGGTCGTAAGTCAAGGACTCCCAATATGTTTGTACACAAAAGTGTACTGTCAATTGTTTGCAATATTAGCCGTGAGGAACAAGGATCTTGTTTGCCATTATCTGGTGGCTTTTTTTGCTGAGGCACATATTTTGTTTGAGGGACTCTGTATGTATGTATGTATGTATGTATGTATGTATGTATGTGGCGGGGCAGCCCATTTCTTTCAAAACGACACGTGTACTTTGGGCACCAGGGACCTGGTTCTGTGGAGAGAGATTTTTCCGCAGACTGGAGGGGACGTAGGATGGTGCCTGCATGTTTGCACGGCCCAGTTGCTGGCATGCTGCAGACTGGTACCGATCCATGGGCCGGGGGTTGGGGACCTCTGCCTTAGGTTGTACTTTTTTATGATGAAACTTACACATAATATGTGTAAGAGCAAGAGGAAAACCTAACTGCTTTTGTGATGATATGATTAAAAACAAAAATTATCGGCCGTGTCAAAACCAGTTTTATTTTCAGGTCGTCCTCACTTAACAATTGCTCGCTTGTTCGAAGTTAAAGCAGACCCTTAAAAGCTACTTACGACCCGGTCCCAAAGTTAACGGCTGCTGCAGCCCTTACGACCGACCGCAGGAACACTGCAGCCTCCCCCTCCGCCCATCTCCTTCCCCCATCCCCTATGCTGGGTCCCCACATCCTCCTCCTCACTTATTTTTTGTAGGTCTCCGGAGTTCAGGAGGTCGGGGTAAGGAAGGAGATCACTGAATTGTGGCTGCTCGGAAAATGACGGCCATTGTGGGATGGGGCTGCGATTCCAGCAACAGAGCCGCTTTGCTTTGCGAATGCGATCCCTGCAGGATTCCGCAGCATCAGCGAGCAAAGCAGGGCACTCCGGTAGTCCAAGCAGGCACTTCTGGGATTGTTTGCACAGCTGCAAACCACTGGTGGGACACATGGCCCCCTCCTGGAAGTGTCCGCTCAGGAAGTGATGGCTGCTTGTGAGATGGTACCGCAATTCCAGCAATTGAGAAGCTTGCTTTGCTAAAATGAGCAAAGCCAAGCAGGCTGTTCTGTTGTTGCAATTGCGACGGCATCTCACAAGCGTCAGTCATTTTCCAAGCGAGCGCTTCCGGGATCGTGCCACATGGCCACCCAACAAAAGGATCTGTTCTGCTTCCCTAACATGGTCTTTACAGCGCTGCAGAAAGCAGCAGCAGAGCTCTGGAGGTTTTCAAAAAGTAAGTATGGGGTAGGGGTGGGGAGGAGGCCCAAATCCTGTGGGGACCTGGTGGGGGGCAAAGGCCTGCAGGGAACTGGGCAGGGGGGCTGAAAGGCATGTCGGGACCAGCAGGGGGAGGGGAAATAGGTCCAAAGATTGTGGGGACTCTGAGGCGTGGGAAGCAGATCACAGGCTGTTTCAGGGTGGGGAGAGCCTCGGGAGCCTTCCAGGGTCTCCCCTATCCCGGAGGCATCCCATGTTCCACTTAACCTGTGTATTCATTTAACAATCGCCTCAAGGCAGAGCAGGAGGTGGGGTTCATTAAGCGAGGCACTCTTGCTTAACACCAGTCACCATTTGCAACTGTAATGGGCATGCTCTATTACGGTTGTAAGTCAAGGACCACCTGCCCTATCCTGTCACATAGACTTCTACGAAATAACATGCTGCTGTGGTTGTACGTGGCAAACGTGATCTGTACTAGGCTTACATATATATTATTATTGGGAATGTATTGTAAGTTTTAAATGTTTAATAAAAGTACAGGTAATCCTTGACTTAACAACAGTTTATTTAGTGACCATTCAAAGTTACAACAGCACTGAAAAGGGACGTATCATTTTTCACACTTTGTAGCATCTTCATGCTCATGTGGTCAAAATTCAGATGCTTAGCAACCGACGTGTATTTATGACGGTTGCAGTGTCCCAAGGTCACGTGATCACCTTTTGCACCCTTTTGACAAGCAAAATCAATGGGGGAAGGCAGATTCACCTAAGAACCGTGTTACTAACTTATCAACTGCAGTAATTCATTTAACACTGTGGGAAGAGAGGTTATAAAATAGGGCAAAACTTATTTCACAAATGTCTCACTTAACAACAGAAATGCTGGACTCAATTTTGGTCGTAAGTCGAGGACCACCTGTATTTGCTCTTAAATTGTTCAGGTTTGGGTAGCAAGCTATGTGTCAGATAGCTACTGCTGGACAAATATACTCATGCTATCACTGGATAGATTGGAGTTGATTAATTGCATGCTGCTTTACAGAAATTGAACATATTTTTCCTGGAATTATTATTTTAATGGATTTTCTTGAAATAGTGTTCACAGATCTCAGAACTGCTCGATTTTTATTCCTCCCCCAAATAATTCATGAGAGAAATACATTTGTAAGCATTTTTTTTATCAGATTTCATTTAATGTAGGACATATTACATAAAAGTCTTGATTGAGTCTTTCTATCATTTTTCAAAATAGTCCATGCACGACACAAATCTTTCAGTTTTGTCGATGTGGCCTTTGATTCTGTATTCCAGATTCTGGTCAATCAGCTTTCCTCTAGATAAAGCCTACTTAATACAGCAATTTTCTATAGTTATATTTAAAGATTTTCCATTCGTTCCAACAATTAATAATAATAATAATAATTTAGCCTCTTGTCTCCATTTACCATCACAGTGCGAAAGCTAAACTGAATTTAAAAATCACACATTGCTGTGGATTTGCTAACAAAGCAACATACATTTCAGAAGGACAAGAGGGATAGCAAAAGATTTGTCAGATACAGACAGATTATTTTTTTCTGAATTTGACTTACAATTCCTCTAATAAACAGGCTTTTTTAAAGCTTATATTGAGAGACAAAGAAAATACATAAAGATGAAACAGTCAAAATGAGAGGGATAGCAGGCATAGGAACACTGCTGTGTGACTTGGTTGTTTTTGCTGCTACGGCTGCTTTCTTGGTTGTTTTTGCTTTTGTAGTGGTATCTCCCTCTGCTGCAGAAGCAGTCCAGAGAAGTTCGCTCAGGATTGCAAGCATCATCACAGGCCAGAGCCATCTCATCTGCCTCTTCATCCTGTATTTGTAACAGTCAACATTATCGATTCGCTCAAACTAGTTTAAGAATTGGCTTTCATCGCCCAAAACAAATCAAAGCTCTGACTGAACACAGTGGGAGAATGTCTAGACCAGTCTTCCTCAAACTTGGCAACTTTTAAGATGTGTGGACTGCAGCCCCCCAGCATTCCCTAAGCCACGCATTTTAATGTTGCCAACGTTGAGAAACGTTGGTCTAAAATGTCAAGCTGTAATGGAATATGAGAATGACCTTGGAATAACAGAATAATAGAGTTGGAAGGGACCTTGGTGATCTTCTAGTCCAACCCCCTGCTCAAGCAAGAGACCCTATGCTATTTCAGGCAAATTGTGGTCCAATCTCTTCTTAAAAACCTCCAGTGATGGAGCACCCACAACTTCTGAAGGCAAGCCCTTCCATTGCTTAAGTGTTCTGTCAGGAAATGTTAAGACAGGAGGGGGAAAGACCCGCTTAGGGAACAATCAAATAAAAGGGCGAAGAGCCCACAACTGAGCAAATGTCAGTGAAAGACACTTGGAAAGGATCTGCCCTAACTAATCAAGCAATAAAAACAGACTGCCTGCAATTTGTACCTTCAGCCAGATTCTATTAATGTAGCCTTATAATAAAGTAGAATTCGCTCATCTGGTTGTGTTTCTTGTCGGGTCTACATGGAAGGCTTACATAACTTTATTCAGTTTTCTGGAATCTGCTAGTGCAGCGGTTCTCCACCTATGGGTCGCGACCCCATTTGGGGTCGATCGACCATTTCACGGGGGTCGCCAAGCAAGGCTGTCCGCCATTTTTTTTTTCCCTTTTCCGGCGGGTGCCTTACCTCCCTTGGGCTGGGCCAGCTGGTGGTCGGCCTGCTCCGTCTCTGCCGCTTGCCAGCTACGCCTCAACCGGCGCAGGGGGCAGAACCACGCATGCGCGGCGCTCCCGGGCAGGGAAAGTCCTCGACTTACAACCGGTTGGGTAGTCCTCGACTTACGACTGGTTTAGTCCTCGACTTACGACCGGTTTAGTCCTCGACTTACGACCGGTTTAGTCCTTGAGTTACGACCGGTTGGGGGTCGCGGCATTAAAAAGGTTGAGAACCACTGTGCTAGTGAAATCTAAGTTTTAAAGTTTTTCTGGATTGCCCTTACCTGTACCCATAGGCAAAAAATTAGGACTACCACAGACATGTGCTATTGAAAGCTGCCAATCAACTAATTTTTCTGTTTCCTCCCAAGTTGATATTTTATGATGAATGAACATTCTCAGATTTCATTGATGCTTTTGGCAATTTTTTTGGTGTGTGTGTGTGTGTGTGTGTGTGTGTTTGCTTAGCCTATTTATATTTCCCTTTTATACCTGGGTGGAAACACTTTGGCGACATAAAATTCCATACTTGGACAGTGATTTTATTGCTAGCATTCTG